TTGGTGAAAATATTATGTGAAATCAGTGATTACAAAAATATATTTTGGAGTGTTTTTATTATTATGATTAATTATATGGAAATCAATCTATTATGATAAAATAACATTTTTAACATTAATACAGTTGATACAGTGATGACATTAATATACCATTAAATTAATATTTTGATTAATAAAGCAAAAACTTTCATGCGAATTATTATATTTTGGAGTAATGTTGGGTAAACACTTAAAAAAAAAGAAAGTAATGTTGGGTAACCAAAGTTTGTGTTGGATTAAAAACTTATAACAAATGAAATGTTTAGAAGTAAAATGAAAACAAATTGATTCTTTAAGTGGCTTTTAGGTTTAGTTTAAGGTTTGAAAATCAAAATGAAAATCTTGGTTGTATGAAAATCAAAATGAGTTTGTTCCTTGGGTAACTGTGCTTCTTTTTCATTCTCTCACTTTTCTACGGTTGTTGTAATGTGTGGTTAGTTGCGGATCCATAAAATTCCCCCCTTTGCATTGTATAAGGAGTTAACCATATATTTTGAATCGAATGGAAACACATAACTTACCAATGTATACTACGTGGCAACCGCCCCCAGTTACAACGTTCACTGGGATGGGGGCAGCTGCCCCTAGTTAAAAATATAAAATTCCCCCATTTGCATTGTAATTTATAACCAAAATGGCTCAATTGCTATGAATGCCCCCATAACTCCACGTCTCCACGATATATCATGTTTGGTGCCCCCACTGGCTCTTTATCATTTTCGTTATTTACACATTTTTCTTTATTTTCTCGTTTTCTTTTTCTTCTTCTCTTATGTATGTCCCATTATCCAAATTTATTATTATGTTTCTTTCTTTGTTTCTAGAATACTCAGCAAAATATCACATTTATTATAAACTGTTTTTTCAATCAAATAAAATTGAACATTCATTTCAACAAAAATAATATAAATTGTCTGTGCTCTAATATTTATAAACCTTTTCTGCACACACACACATTAGTTCATGCCGAAATATCAAAAAAAACTTTATATTACTTGGTTAAAATTATGTTATACGTATCTAGTAATGTTATTAGAACACACAAACTTAAGGGATGGCAAGTATAAAACCATTAGATTATAGTATCTTAGCCATTATAGAAATTTTTTTTTTGGTTACGTTAGCCAATTTCTCAAATTGTATCCTTAATTTTAAAGGAAAGAAAATTTTTTTGCCCCCAATCAAAATTATTTCTAGATCCGCCACTGCATAAAATACTTCAGCACTAAGAAAAGTGAGAGAAGAAAAAAGAAGCACAGTAAAAGATCATATATTTGTCAACCATATATTTTGAATCGAATGGAAACACATAACTTCCCAATATATATACTAGGTGGTCGTCAACGTCTAGCGCGGACATAAAAGATCGAACATCAGAATAACAAGTAAATTTTCATCGGTCATTTTTCGTATCTAAATATAGATGATAATATCACGTCTAAATGATTTGAACTCAAATATATTAATTTGACCATACCGTGAGAGTAACACCAAGTAACCGTAGGGAACATCATCAATGAGAGTAACACAAAGTAACCATCACTGGTTGCCCTATTCGATAACCACATATTTTCTTATATGAAACGATATGGTTTGGTATGTTTTCTCTTCATCGATTTCTGATTCAATAACTACACTATTTTCTTCATCACCTGAATAGTCTCCATCATATTTATGCTCCTCTTCACCAAACGCATCACCGTGTTCACCTTGCTCCACCATAATCAAGGCAATGATAGACATAAATATATTCTGTTACATATTTTTCGGACTCTGTTATTCCTGTTTGTATAGTTCCTGATCTTGTGGAATCTCCCCTGATCTTGTGTAACTGTTAAGGCTATATAAAGCCATGTACGTATCCTGTGAATATTAAGGAAATTCATAGACTTTCAGGCAATGGCTTCTGATAGACGGTAAATAACATCAAAGATATCATAAAAGT